AAAAGATGTCGATTAAAATATATGAAATGGGGTGCATCACTAGCCCGCGTGTCGCGGCGGCGGGTGGTGCGAATCACTCGCGTGAACGACTGCCGTTCTTCAAGAGCACGCCCCGTTGTGAAGGGGGTTTTCCAAGCTTTATTTTTATTTTATCGATGAAAATTACGCTTCCGTAGTTCGTAGCTTCTTAGGTATGTATGAGTCAAGAATTCTGAACAAGTGTCCGCTTCAAAACTCTACGATCATTGTTATAACCGTCAGCGTTTCATAAAACATCTGAACGAGGAATCCATCTCATTTGCCATTGCGAAAGGTTTACCAAAACTGTCTTTAAAGGTTTTATAATAGGTTGAAAAGGTTGTATGATTATAAGTTAATATTAATAGGAAAATACGTTTATTGGTCACACTGTATTAGTTTTATGTTTTAGAGCTACCTTAAAATACATTAAATAACTATTATAAAAAAACAATCATGAAATTTTATCCAAGAATAAAATTGCATTTGTGAAACAGATAAGAATAAAGATAATGAATAAAAGGTAATAATAATAATAATAAATATTTTTCAACACTCACACCAATTAGCCTAGCCCCAAAGTAAGCACTGTAAGGCTTGTGTTATGGGATGCTAGGGCAACGGATAGAATACATATACAGTACATATATAAGTATATTTATATAGAAATACATATTAAACATCCATGACTGGAGTACACATGCTCGTGTTCATCACACAAACATCTGCCCCCACCGGGATTCGAACCCGGGACCTCTCGAGTCGGTGACACCATGAAACCCGGCGTACAAACCACTCGGCCACGGAGGTCGTCGAAAGGTATATTATATCTTGTAACAATAGATAAATCTTAACACAAAAACAAATCATTTCATCAATCAAGTTAAAAAAAACAAATTCTAAAACATCGATATCGATATAAATTGTCACAGCACATTCAATTAGAGGCACAGCACGGTCTCGCATGAGTGGCGTTTGTACGCGTCGTCAGGGAAGCTCGCGGCGACGGCAGCCCACCCGCTACACCCCGCGAATCGATACTCTTGCCCGCATCGATAATGTCGATAACGATATGCAGGTGCGCAACTCTAGTGCGGGCGTCTTGTTCGAAATCCGAATAACGCTTGGTCAAGCTAACTCAAAGCGTGGAGTCTAATTTGCAGCGGTGCTGCGGTGGCTGGCTGTGTTCTGAGGGGCCGTTATATGTCTATGTACCTACATATGTATATGTGCTACACGTGTACAAACACGAGTGTGCTATACATATGTAGGATAACCTAGATTCGTCCTCGCAAATGAGCGTCTATTCCGGCCGTACACACATGTCTTGGTAATTGGAGAAGGCTCTATCTTCGATTTGTCTTTTGTCAAATCAAGAATAGTTAAAGGACCTATAAGCAAATAGCAAATCAACTTTAAAACATATAATAAGGTAGCAAAATTTTCCACGGCTATTCGTGTTGTGAAACTTCGCCGATAAAAAAACGCATAACTTTAAAAAGTATAATGTCAACGCACCGAAGTTGCACCGCGACCACCCCCGACCCAGACACAGACAAACACCATTTATACAATAATAAAACGCGAACATAAAATAGCGAAAGTGCAGAAAAGTTTGGCCAACCGAAAGAGAAAGCGCCAAAAGTTTTGTCTGCTCGACTTTGTTTTCGAAGTTTGGTTTCAATTTGAAGGGTGGCCCCGCCCCCTTACCCCTCTCCCTGCCTCGCCCCTGTTATCATATTCGAGACAAAACAAACAGAATTGCTCGCTGCATTATTTTTTGTAAAAACTCTATGATAAGAGAATGATAAAAAAAAGAATTTTGTTTTTTTTTAATAATCATGCACGACGCCAAAGAAAACGAAGACATCACTAAAGAAAGGAAAGAAAGACCTGTAACAAAACTAGGATAACCGCATCACAAACGAAAAACTCTATGATAGAGTAAAAATTATAATGTTGAATGGATAACCTGGGATAACGAAATTGGACTTTAGAGACAATTTATCTTAAAATCACAATGACCTACGATGTTACATAGCGACAATTAATCTTTTAAATCGAATAAGAAATCTCATGTGGCGTAATGGCGCGATTGCACTTGGCCGTTAGCCCGAATACGAGTGCCAATTGAATTTGGGTAAATTTCCTTTTGTTTACCCGACACCGTCTTCCAGCCAGTATTCCAGTGTAAATATTGCTTCGGGTATCCGAATTCGCGTAATGCCTTTCGTTCACCCAAATACGGGCTAATTGTCAGGGCCATTATTGTGTTACGGGCCAGTAAACAATATAACGCTCTCAGCACAAAATTATCCAACAAGCTTCATAAAATAAAACCCATTTTTTCATTGACACTACATAATGTAAAAAAAACTGTGAGTGATTTACTACTAAAATACAATTATGAGGAAACTGAAGATCTTATTAGGTAAACGACCTATCATTGTACACGCACCCAAGTGCATGAACACACACCCACACGCACAAACGCACATACACACACACAGAGAGACACACACACACAAACGTATACAGATTCATTTGCATTAAATTCATAACATTAAGTTCTTCGCTATTAAAGCCGATTCACAGCTATCCGGTAGACCCGTACGGGCTGTCCGTGCGCGAAAGAGCCGTACGGGTCACGCCCGCAGTGCTCTGAAACGTGGGTTCAATATATGTATATATATATATATATATATTTATATATATTCCCTATGCCTTAAGCACAGCCTAACGTTAGGTTATTTAAGAAAAGAAGTTTCACTTCAGATGTGTGGTCCGTGCACTTTTTTTTTCTTTTGTCAATCAGCCTAATAATTACAAAGATGAAGCGCGTTAAATTTTGGAAATTTTTTACTTAGAAGTGACGTCACTAGCCCCTAGCTAGTGACGTCACTTCTAAGTAAAAATTTAACCAAAACGGGCGTCATGGGACATTTCTATTCAATACGTCTGTAATGTTTTGATTATGTGAAAAAAGAAAAATATGTAGGTAGTGTGGTATTTTTTGATAATCTACCGGATAAACTAAGAAAAAAAAGTTCGTTATTATTCCTATTCCACGGTCCCACCCACCAGTCCGTATTGATGGGCTCGTTTAATCCTTATAAGAATTTATCCTTCTGTGTCCTATTGGGAACATAATTAGACTGATTAATGGATGATAATGAATGAAACAGTAGCATTTTCATAGTTCAAGCAATAGGTAAGCAAAAATTGTGCAATGTTTTCAATGATTCGTGAAAATAAATGTAACCTAAGAAGCTCTTGGTAAGCTTCAAAGAAAATTGAGGATACTATGTATATTGTGAACCGCGTATAATCTTATGTAATGTATAATAAGTAAGTAAGTAATATATAAGCTGGTATTTTAATGTATTGACAATTTATTTTGCATCAAACAGATTTTATATTATAACACGAAGATATTTTAATATGATAAGTAAAGTTAATAAGAATATCAAGCTTTAAGAAGACCAAACATACTCTAAGTTTGAATCCTTTATTAACTTTTTGTCAAAATTAAAGTGAGAGAAATATGTAACGCAGTATTGAATTATTTGTAAAATGCACTTTATTTATTATTCTAAATATAAAGGATAATAAAAAACATACTTTATTGCTGCTCTCTACATTGTACATTACCTACGGTATTTTTACTAGCTCGACTCCGAACGCCCTCTAGAGACAACTGTGGCAACTACATTGTACCAATTCTCGAATAGCATAATGCATAATAAAGTAGTCTAGTGCAGGGAAATGCTTTCCCTGTGCTTTTACGAAAAAGGGATTAAATTCCCAATTTTACCGCACAACCATGACACGATAATATAATATTACCGTGACCATGATTTTGTAGGTAATGGATTGATTGTTTACTGTTGCTCGTGTTTGTAAAGTTGGTGTTTTAATTTCCATACTTTTAGTTAGTATAATATTCTATTATCTTTTGACAACCTCCGTGGCCGAGTGGTTTATACGCCGGGTTTCATGGTGTCGCCGACTCGAGAGGTCCCAGGCTCGAATCCCGGTGGGGGCAGATGTTTGGGTGGTGAACACGGAGCAATTTGTGCTCCAGTCCAGAAATATTATTTTAAAATGAATGAATGAAGATCGTCTTTACCGATTTCACCCATATTTTTTACTGTGTAAAGGGTTCTTACGAAAACAAATTAAGCAAGTTTCGCGAAAATTTAAGTTAACAGATTCGAAGTTATATTAATAAAATACACGAAAAATATACGAGTTCATTTGATAACCACCGTTTTTATCGTTCAGTACCCAAAGGGAGCCAACTGAACCCTTTTACTAAGCTTACACTTGTATATCCATCCGGTTTCAACAAACTGTATACCTACAGCGAAGCATAGCTTGATATTGATCAGTCACCTTAATTATATTTTTAATTTTTAAGCATTTAACTACTAGATGTCTAAATCTAAAGAAATCTGCCTTGCAGCCTAAGGCTACAGAAAATTCGACACGACCATCAGAGCCGCAGTAGCATAATGGTCAGTGCATTCGTCTGGATAGCGAAGAGTGCGGGTTCGAGTCCCGTCTGCTGCCTGGTCCACGTGGATTTTTTTCTAGTAAAATTTTCTTTAGATTTAATTGACATCTACTTAGAGCCAAAACATGGAAATTAGAATGCAATGAATTGAATGGAACATGTAGTAAATTACTTTATCCTAGCAGGAGCGCATCCTATCCCCCTACACCGCCTAAATGTCTAAAATACATAATTACTTTATTCCTACGTTTTCTACATTTAACATTACCTCTACGTTATTTTTACTCGCTCGACTCTTAACGCCCTCTTTAAATTACCATGGCAACTATACCAATTCTCGAAAAGTATGATGCTTATGACAGTAGTGTAAATAGTACAGGGCAATGCTTTCCCTGTGTTTTTACGAAAAAGGATTTTAATGATACTGTGTTTTAGCTCTAAATACATCTGAATTACTTTTTCCCAGCCGGAGCGCCTCATGTCTCCCTACACCGCCATCGTGAGGCGCAGCGGGAACCCCTTCGAGCTGGCCCACGTGCTGGTCTCCTGGCTGACAGGCGCCGGGTACGACGCGTACGTGGTGGTCGGATGTGCCAAGAGAGACGTATGCATGGCCATCAGGTACCGCACCGAGTGCCCAGAGATACCGGACGAGACCGAGGTGAGTTGATAAATTTTACGGAAGTTATGGGTCTTCTTTTTTATGAAAGAGAAGGATATTTCAAATCGTTCAGGTTTAAAATTTATTCTGTGCAGTCTGATTACATTAGATTCCCTTACTAAATGTATTGTACTCACCCAACAGACAGCTTAATGTACGCTGTGCTCTTTCTCTCTTGAAAGCATCCTCGATTGTCATGTGATTCGAGTAACGTGGAAACTGACACTTTCTGCTCTCCAGCCTGATGATGAAAATTTCGGATATCTGATGGACCAAACACTATTTTTAACATATGGCATACACAAATATCGATAGATCTTCCATTCATGTGTCGTATTTACTCATAACATCTATACCAACTATCCAGTTGGTATATCAGTCAGTTCTATCCAGAAAGGTAAGCTCCCTATATGGAAAGCTCTGTGCCCCATGCCAGCAGTGGAATTTTTTATTAATATCTCCACTGCTGGGGCACACTATGATGATGTTGATGATAGAAATGTTTTATTATTTTTTATTTCAGGAAGTAGTCGAGGAGCCCCCTCCCGAGGAAGAACCTCGATACAGACTTGTACCCCTGCCAGACCTCACGTCTAAGTATTGCAAGGAAATGGAGAAGAAGGAAGCGGACAGAAAGCAAGCAGAAATGGACAAAATAGAGAGGGAGAAACAAAGAAAAATTGCTGTGGGTTAATTTTTTTTAAGTAGTTTTAGAACTACATATTATGTGTACAGTATTTTCTTTTAAAGATGTAAACATTATATATACATAGATTGCCGACTGTTGATATCTAGTGATGTTACGGTCTTGAATTTTGACAAACCGGATTTGATCGGTTAGTGATACATGCAAATCGGTTTCCGAACCGAACCGCCAAATTTTCAGTAAACCGCGGTTTGAACCGGTTTGAACCGTTTGACGAGTTGACGAATGAAACTTACGAAACAACAGGTGCAATTTTTTTTTAATTCTACATATTTTGTTGATATTACATCGTGCAAATATTTAAAGGTAATTGAAAAATAACAATTAAAATATGAAAACAAATAATAATAATCAGAATTAAAAATGTCAAAATAAAAATAAACAAATATCTATGTAATACCGTGTTTAAAAAATTACAAAAAAATATATAAACTCTATTAATTACATAAAACCGTACTTCTTAACTTTGAGAATAAAATACAATTTTAATAATCAACAATATAATAAATACGTAACTTATTTTTGTAAAATCATTTGAGTCGTAGAAACTTAATTTGGTACAAACAACTTAATTAAAAAGTTTTCTTACAACTATTTAGGAATAATATTTGGTCTATTTTTTTAGAAGCTGGGCAATTACGTCGCATATTACATAATAATGAAAACAAAATTACACCGTCAAGTCAGTCAAATCTACCAGAGTCCGTTTCATTTCGGTTCGGTCGGTAAGTCGGTTATGGCTGTTGTATTTAAATTGACGATGCGCGCTAACCGTATCCTCTGCTGTAAGTCGGTTCGTATTGGTCGGTCAAGTTTTATTAGGGTCGGTAAAGCACGTCAGGAGCCGCACGCGATTTGTGGATGGCTGCATAAACAAGAATTGACAGGCGCGCATGCGCGCAGCGCGATACGAACGAATGCCACGGTAGAACCGGTTTACGAAGACGTTAACCGATTCAACTCGGTCCATGCTCAAACCGGTTTGAACCGGTTTGAAAAGTCGAGTGGTTACATCTCTATTGATATCCTTTTTACTTTTAAAATCATTTAATGCACGTAAAAGTTTGTAGCTGCCGCTAAAGTCTTCATGGTATCTTCCATTCTGATCATGGTTGTTAGACAACCATGACCAGCATGGAAGACAGTAGACTCCATGCGCAGTATTTTATTGTCTTGAAAAGTGTAGATTCATTATTATTAAATTATATATTTAACTAGCAACGACTTCGTTCTCTGTAACTTTTTCAAAGTTTTGGAAAACCCTTAGTGGACACCTATGAGTACATCATAATAGCTATATATGTACTAAATTTCAGCGCAATCCGTTCTGTGGTTTGAGCTGTGCGTTGATAGATCAGTCAGTAACGGTTTCCTATAAAGGTTATATTGAGTATTTTGAGAAGATCTTTTGCTGATATTCATGTAGGTATGACGGAGCATGCTTGAATGAAATACTTTTTTATATCCAATTTTACTTTGAAAAGTTTCGAAGGCTATTCGATAGTTGGTTCGATCGTCAAAGTACATTTTTATTAATTATTTTATTAAATTAAATGCTTTGCATCTCTGGCTAAAATACCTTTCAATGTGGAAGACACTGTATAAAATGAAACATGGAGAATAAAACAGCCCTTCATGATTTTCTTTCCGGTTCTCAGTGTTCCTGAGGAGACCTTGGCTTCCGCCGTATATTTATAAACCAATGGCGTAGTTTTTCATCTTAACGTTATCTTATCGTTTAGTTAATAATCGTGATAAATTAATTTAAGTATAAAACGGTGGCTGTGCCCCGTTTTTCGAGCGAGATCATTCCTATTGCGAAAGCAAGATATCTATGGTTCAGGGGAATGGTATCCTGCTTCAATCGCGGTTCTTGTTTGGCATTGTGGAGTTCTTTGCGCAGGTGGCTAGCCCGTTCGGCCTGAGATCGTAGAAGTTGAGCTACTTTCGCAATGGTCGGTCTTTTGATGGGTGACCAAAAACTTAACATCTCGACCTTCTCCGCGCTTCAGAAGGCACGTTTAACCGTTGGTCCCGGTTGCATCTGTAGTTGTTAGCATCTACCAATCTGCACTGGGTCCGCGTGCTGGGTCACGGTCCAATCTCCCTATTCCATCTATAAGAAAGGCCTGTGCCCCAGCAGTGGGGACATAAACAGTCTGTGACGATGACGACGATTAAGAGTTCACAATACGTCAGGAAACTATTTTTCCGCAGGAATTGGAGCAGCCACCTCCAGACGAGATAGACGGGTGGCGAACGCACGCCTGGATCCTGGTGCTGCCAGGGTTTATGTCGGTGGAAGAACCGTTCTTCATAGAGCCGAGCGAAGGCAATGGATACCCACTGGACGCACCCCAATACCAACATCTAGACTCCGTCTACAATCATGAGAATTATTATGTAAGGAACTAGCATAGCGCCATTTCATTACTGTTAACAATAGAAGTGATTCTATCAAATCAGGTTTGTATTTGCTCGAACCAGAGCGCTTGCCTTGGGAATTTTATTCTCTACCTATATATACTGCCGCACCAGAACTGTCACACACGTTGTCGACCTGTAAAGAAGGAGTATGGTGTTTTTTTTAAAGCTTTCAGGACACTTTTTCGCTGCCATTCCCTAAGTATCATTATTTTTCAAAGTTTTGGGTTTTTGAGGACCACCGAGGCCGAGTGGTTAGTACGCCGTGTTTCATGGTGTCGCCGACTCGAGAGGTCCCGGTTTCGAATCCCGCTGGGGGTTTGTGTGATGAATACGAGCATTTGTACTCTAGTCATGGATGTTTAATATGAATTTCTATATAAATATACTTATATATGTACAGTATATGTATTCTATCCGTTACCCTAGTATCCCATAACACAAGCCTTATAGTGCTTACTTTGGGGCTAGATTAATTGGTGTGAGTGTTGGAAATATTTATTTATTTATTTATTTTGTAGACAGAAATTTAGGCTTTTCAGCGCCTCACTGGTTGGAAAAGGGGAAACGCTGCATTGTCTACAATGATCAAATAGCTGGGATAGTACTCGCTATCATGATTGAAGACCAAATGTGTGGTTGCCCTCTAGAAATACAAAAAAAAGTTGACAATATATCAATTTTTATAAGTTTATAAATAATAAAAAAAATATCTAACATATAATATCTACCTCTAGTGAATAAGGAAAAACAATCTTAGGTGAACATCCAAAGCTGCGAGGGAGGTCTCGGTTCGCTGAACTACGACCTGTCAGACCTCACCTGCTGGGAGCATCTGCTGGCGGGCGAGCCGTTCTACAGGCGACAGATAACAGGCATCGATACAGCCGACAAGAAGACCGCTGTGGACACGGAAAAACACCTAGACATGCCCCCCCCCTGCTGGGTGGAGAAACTCGACATCACCGCTGATGGTAAGACAATGCAATAAAGTTGAATAGAATGACGTCAAAGATTCTTTATTATCTATATCTTCCGAGTCCGTTGGCGAGGATAATTTGTGCTCGAGAATGTTTACTCCTATTCTACCTACTCTACTCCCTGTATTAGCTCACATCTTTAACTACTCCTTGTCTTCCAATTGTTTTCCTCAAATTTGGAAAAAGGCTTACATAATTCCTTTACCCAAGATCCCTAATCCTTCATTACCTTGTCACTTTCGTCCTATTTCTATTTTACCTTTTCTTTCCAAAGTTCTCGAGCACATAGTTCACAAGCAAGTTTTTTTCTTCTTTCGAATAGCCTCCTAAACAGCTTTCAATCTGGCTTTCGGTCGGGTCACAGCACGGTCTCTGCCTTAGTGAATGTCACTGATGATATACGCTGGGCAATGGAAAACAAAGCGTTAACTGCACTAGTATTGCTAGACTTTAGCAATGCATTTAATTCTGTCGACTTTGATATTCTCCTTGCCATTCTTCGTTCCTTAAATGTCTCTACTTCTGCTCTTTCTTGGTTCGGTTCATATCTTCGGGGTCGCTCGCAGAATGTTCGCCTTGATGATTTAACCTCTGATGGGTGTGACCTCTGTGTTGGCGTACCTCAAGGAGGTGTTCTCTCACCACTCCTATTCTCTATTTTCATTAACTCTCTAGAGTAATTTCCTCCAAGTTTCATCTCTACGCAGACGATTTGCAGCTTTATCGTCATTTCGATATTGAAGAAATGGACTTCACGATAGCAGCCATTAATGAAGACCTAAACCGTATTAGTACTTGGGCACAATTTTATGGTCTCTCAGTTAATCCAAGTAAATCCCAGGCAATTATAATAGGGAGTAGGTATATGTCACGTTCCTGCCGTTCCTCTCACTTGCCGCCAGTGTCCATAGGTGGAATCAACATCCCCTACAGCGATACGGTGAAAAATCTCGGCGTCACAATTGATACCAACCTCTCATGGACAGTTCACGTCGCTAACGTTAGTCGTAAAATGTATTTTTCGTTTCACACTTTAAAATGTTTGCAAAATTTCCTTCCTTTACATACCAAAATTGCCCTTGCACAATCTCTTATTCTCCCACTTCTCGACTATGCCGATGTTTGTTATTTAGACGCTACGGAGGCATTACTTGATAAACTTGAGCGCCTGCAGAATCTTGCTATTCGATTCATTTTTGGGCTTCGTAAGTATGATCACGTCTCCAACTTTCGAAAGGAACTCAAGTGGCTCCCCATACGTCTGCGCAGGAATGTCAGAATCCTTTGTTTCCTCTTCAATATCCTTTACAATCCTTCTTATCCTTCCTATCTTCGGGAGAGGTTTTCTTTCACCCACTCGCCTAATGTTCCTTGCAGGTCCCATCTGAAATCGGTCCTCAATTGTCCTCTTCATAAAACCGAATTTGCATCATACTCTTTCACGGTACATGCCGTCCGCTTATGGAACTCGCTGCCAGCAGGAATCAGAGACAGTCCAACTGTTGCTACATTTAAAAAACGGTTGAAGGAACACTATCTATCCTCTTGACTCACTGTTTCCGAACTGTATTGCTTCTCCTTTTAACACTTGTATATTTCAATTTAGTATATATGTTTATTAGTATGTCTATGTAGATATATATGTAGGTTTTGTTTATGTAAGTAGTGTATTTTGTTATTTTTATTCAGGAGACACACACTGACGACCTTTTATTTTACGTTTTTTCCTTTCGCGGGCCTGCTGGAAGAAATTTCAATATGAAATAAGCAGTGCCCTAGTACAAATTTCTTGTTCCTGTTCTTATCTATTTTATTGTGTGTGTACTAAATTAGTAAATAAATAAATAAATAAAAAATAGAATTTGGCAGACTTAGTTTGATGCGTATTATATTTGCACTATAAATTGTGGTATAAATGTGTCCGTTCTTCATTGATTCGACTGTACTATACCTTGAATGAACAAAATGAATGTTTGTTTCTTAGGTTTTCACGCACATCACTCATTAAATAAAACTAGTTTTTACGGGATAATGCACGAAACTTTATTTATTTATTGACGTTTCGTGCATTAACCCGTAAAAACTAGTTTTATAAAATGAATGTTGTTGAAAACCTTATTAAATGAACCGTTTAACTGTCGAAGAGGATCACTGACTGGTGATCAAAAAGCTGGCAGCTATCTTGATCAACGGATCAGCCTTGCCATCCAACGTGGCAATGCTGCCAGCCTATTGAGCACCATTCCTGGCACTTCTTTCTAATATGGGTTGCCTGGAAGAGATTGCTGCCTAGCAATAAGGCCGCCTATATTGTGTACATTTTATTTCTCATTAAATAAAACTAGTTTTTACGGGTTAATGCATTTATTGACGTTTCGTAGCCTTTACAGGCTTCGTCGTCAGAATAAAACTTTTATTGAAAACTTGAAAACCTAAGAAACAAATCTATTTCTCATGTTTTAATTTACTTGTGTGTGTTTTTTATGGTGTATAACAATAATAGTTATTTATTATACAAGAGTGGAAAGTTCCTTTTTAACCGCGTGCTCGATTTGGATGACCGAGCAAGCGAAGGATTCTAAAGTTGAATCACGAGCGCAGCGAGTGATTCTAAATTAGAATCCTGAGCGTCAGCGAGGGAAACAAACGAGCACAAGGTGAAAAATCTTTCCACTCGAGTGCAATACGTAACTTTTCATCCCACCTCAGCGAGGAAATGACAAAATGAAAAAGAAAACAATTTATAATGACAAAATATTTAAGCAATAAAACGTGAAAAACTAGAATGGCGCGAAGCACGCAAATAAAACAAAGAAACCAAGAAGGTTCCAAATTTAAATTTTTTCACAATTTAAAAAGTTCTAATCATAAATTTGGCACCATAGAGGTTACATTAAATAGGTTTAATGACGTTTTGAATTTACAATTATATTGAGTACTCATTATATGTGATGTTCTAAATTCAAATCTACTTTGCCGCTCAAGCGAATAAAATAGAATTTTCCAGCCAGATTTCGAAGCGCAAAATTACACTTTCCGAGGTGGTGGGATGAAAAGAATATTATTAATATCATTCCTGATGGCGGCGCTAATTAAGTAGTTAAGTAGGTTAAGATAATTTAGATTGTAAATTTTAGTCATCACATAGTTTATAAGTTTTTGTTATTTAAATGTATATATTTACCTATCGAAGGTTTATCTATACTAATATTATAAAGAGGAAAAATGAACCGTAAATTACTTTATATGCGAACAAGAATGCTCCCAAAAAGCTGTAGCTGCATTGCTACAAGAATCTTGCGGTAAGTACTTATCACAATGTACAATGTTGTGTAATCACTTTTCGCAACGGTCACGAATTACAGTTATGTTTAAGTATATTTCATCATCATCAGCCTATTAATGTCCTCACTTCTGGGCACAGGCTTTCCTTATTGATGGAATATTGAGATTAGGCCATAACCCAATAAGCGTGCCCAGTGCAGATCGGTGGATGTTAACAACTGCAGATGCAACCGGGACCAACGACTGAACGTGTCTTCCGAAGCACGGAGGAGCTCGAGATAGTAAAGTTTTGGTCACCCATCCAATGAGGTCGGTCATTACTTTGCAAAGTTGCTCAACATCAAAATCCATATTCCTAGGATTCTTAATTCCTCCTTAAATTCTTATTTGTCTGTTTGTCTGTATGTATGTCCGGGATAAACTCAAAAAGAACTGCATGGATTTACTTCAAATTTGACACGAATATTATTAAGAAGTCTGGTCAACATGTAGGCTACATATTATCACGCTATCACCTACGAACGGGGAACGAGCAGTGAACCTTTATTTCTTCAACGCATCTAACTCCACGCGTACGAAGTCGCGGGCGGCCGCTAGTCAAGTAAATATACTCATCCCTTTTTAATTTTATTAAGTTTTATCGCAATAATTTCTTAAATATTCCAGAGTACGAACAGAGGTATCCTGGCTGTCACAAAGTAATACACTACAAGAAGGTGCTGTTGGAGAAGTTCTCACCTTACTCCGAGCGGGATGGCATTGTGAAGCGAATTAAAATATTCGACGATTATGCGCTTACGCATCCTCTGCTTACGTAAGTTTAATTTAGCCGTATTGCATTTTCCGTAGAGTTTTGTAACATGTAGAAAAAGCATGAAATCACGCTCGCAGAAATCTCACAGTAATTATATTTAAAATAAGGCTAAGTGAAGGCAAAGGCAAAATGTATAGATCTCAAGCTCAAAATCTTTTGAAATACAATCTGTACTATTTAATAAGTAATTTAAGCTAAGTTCTTTCAAGCATTTACTTAAGTTTGTTGAAAGATGTTAGATTTCGGGTAAATTAATAAATACTTCGCTGACTTGACTTACAAAACCAGAAACTGACTGACTCCGTTATGATATGGTAATAATAAGTTTTATTGGCTTGAACAATAAAGTGATCTTAAACCTTTCTTAAACTAATGACCAGCGACACCTTTTAAGCTTAAAGAGCAGTATCTTCTGACACAAGCTAAGGAAGAGACCTTAAAAAAGATAGTACCTATAACATTCCAATAAATTCCAACAAACTAAGACCAAGATCTAATTAGTAAAGAAGTTTGGTGTTTATGCCTACGTAAGTGTAAATATGCGTGTGTGTATGTAGGTGTAGTGTGTGCATGTATGTGTGTCTTAGTGTGTGCAAGAATACTATGTTCCCATGTAATAAGCTGTTAATCATATAACTCTAACAAAAACAGCAATTGTTCAATCCCGAAATGATTCACATGTTTTTAATTTAAGGTACGAGTATTATAAGAACAGGGTAGATAAAATGGAAACAGTCAAAATAGATCATCTCAAACGTGAAGTGCGGGAAATATTCGGTATTGGCAGACGGGATCACCTTTTGAGTAAGTACTTATTTCAATAGGTAACACACAAACACAGCAAACTATTCAAGGTTTTGTTTTTATTTATTTTTAAGCATTTAACTGCTAGATGTTTAAATCTAAAGAAAAGTTTACTAGAAAAGTTGGAGTCCCGTCCGCTGCCTGGTCCGCGTGGATTTTTTTCTAGTAAACTTTTTATTCAATTTTTTTTTAATCGTCGGGAACCGATAAAGTAAGCGCCTTTATCAAATTCTAGTCCACACCAATTTTACCCTCAAACAATAGTTCTGTACATTAAGTAAGTATGCCAGAGCTCCATATGGTAGAGGAACAGTATCGAGCTCCTTATGGATCTTAAACGAAGGCATTTAAAGGATCTGAAACTATTGGGACTCGGAACATCAATTCGGGTACAGTAATTTGCTGGACCTTGTATATGCATTTAAGAAGTTATATTACCTTACCTTACAGAGTCAGTAATCACAGTAAAATAACACAACTTTTGGTGGAGTTGTGTTTCTGTCGGTTAGTAAGGTTCCAGGGCTCCACAAGGTAAGGGATTTGTTCAGGTTAGGCAACGGTCTGACCTGGAGAACTGGCTCGTTCCGTCCCCAGGCCTCATCCTCCCCCAGAGGGTGCACGCAGTGGTTTTAGCGGGTAGTCTCTGTTGGGGACCCTCCGCGGCATTTGCCGGGAGAGGACCCTGACGGGGGGAGTCTCGCATATCTTCATCGGTCGTTGAACGCGTCAATGCGTTTCCACTGCGACAAAAAAAAGGTTAGGCAACGGTGTGAATGATATTTTTGGAATCACAATTATCTATAGGCTATGGCCGCTGACCATCAGACTGGTCATACGCTTGTTTGCCACCCTTTTAACATATATTTTTTAATCATGGTCCGGGGTAAGTCAGGGATCGAACCTAGGGCCTTTGGAATTTTTAATCATGATAAATGACTTACCCAATGTAGTGAAGAACTCTAAATGTTTGTTATTTGCTGATGACCTTAAGTTGTCGGCGGATATAGGGAATGTAGGAGATTGTAACAGACTCCAGGAGGACATAGATAGAGTTGTCAAGTGGAGCAAAGTTAATAACTTGCAATTCAATATATCCAAGTGTATGACTATTACTTTTACACGCAAACAGAAACCAATAGATCACGAATATAAAATTGATGGCACACCTTTAAAAAGGGTAACAGAAGTTAGGGACTTAGGAGTGAAATTCACAGCAGACTTATTATTTCGAGATCACGTCGTTGACGTTTGTAAAAAAGCTTTTAAAACTTTAGGTTTCATCTTACCAACTGTAAAGGAATTTACGAATGTACAGGCCATCGTCGCTTTGTATAATACATTAGTTAGGAGTCATCTAGAATGTAACGCTATGATTTGGGCTCCCCACGAACAAAAGTATAATATTATGCTAGAGAGAGTGCAGAATAAATTTGTAAGATACATGTATTTAAAACTATATGGAGTGTATCCCTTTTATCCATTACAATATCCTACATTATTTGATCTTGGTATGGTTGGATATAGTCAGCTTAGGGTTCGGAAAGAATTGAAGCTAGTTATTTATATTTTTAAGGTGCTTCGGGGTAAGATATTTAATCCGGGCATACTAGGGATGATTAGTTTTAGTGTTCCAAATGAATACATTTGGCGTCGGCGGCGGCCGGGCCTGTTGGTAATTCCTACTGGACGCACTAAATTATTGAGTGAGGCTCCACTGACGCGTGCATTGCGCACAATCAACAAAATTAATGAAAAGATGGACTTATTCGTTTGTGCTCTGAGCGAATTTACAAAACTAGCTGAGTGGATTATTATCGGTTGCAATTAATTATTTTTTCCAATGTGTTTGTAAATGTGTATTATAATGGATTTCTTAAATGGATGTATCTATTGCCTTGGGTATATACCTGTAATAATAGATATAAGTATTAAATAAATTAAATAAATAAATAAATAAATCATTTACTGCTAGATGTTTACATCTAAAGAAAATTTTCCTAGAGTTCGCGTCTCGTCTACTGCCTGGTCCACGTGGACGTTTTTCTAGTAAAATTTTCATTGTTTATATTTTTACAGAACACGTGTACTCTATCGACGCTCCTGCAGTTTCTGTGGAGGGCGTACGAATACTTGAGTTCAATTACTACCCTCGTATCGATCACCTGACCAAGTTGGTCTGCACTCCGCTTACCTTCGACGAATTCTATACCAATAGAGATGACAGGTAAAGGCACTCTCTATCAAATATAAATACTACTCTTTGCTCTCTATGTTTTCTGCTATCGTCAATATCTGCCAATTTACCCTCTATTTTTTTGTAAGGTCAAAATCATATAATGTATGATATTGGGCTTTTTCCCTTCACGCAAGATTGAATCAAATGATAAATAATAACTGCTTCGTTGTGTACTTTGAAAAAGATAATAAATAATTCCCAGTTCTTTCCTATCGTTGAAGTTCTTATTCACCAACATTTCAGGTTGGAGTCTCGCACCATAACGTACACGGAGGGCACAAAAGCAAAACCGAAGCGTCATGTCAAAGACATCGTCGAGACATACAGCCGAAACATCGAAGTGCCAGCCAAAGACGACATCTGGAAGAAAATCTTTCACATCCAGGAGAACACCATAGAGCTGCTGTACCACTACGCGTACAATTTCGTCACTAACGACACTAGGCAATTTGTGAAGCCGAACCTGGCTGAGACCGGCGGGAAGATCCTGTTTTATCCTGAGAAAACTTCGGGTTATATCGTAAGTTGTCTTCAAGAGTAATAGGATTAGGAGTCTGAATAAGAGATTTTACATTAAATATTTTAAGGAGGGGTAAGTATAGTGAATTTGCCGTCTTAGGGAGTACACTCCAGCTTTTACAGAAGACCACCAAAAGGAAATGTTATTTTACTGTAGAATAATACTTCCTTTTGGTGGTGTTATATTTCTGTTGTAAGGTTTTTAGGGCTGCACGGAGTAGGAGATAGGATTTAGGTTAGCAAGGCAAAGGCGGCTGGAGTTGCACATTAACTGCCGCGACTCTTAGCGGTAAAAAAGGAATCACTTGACACCCTATATTATTATACTCGTACTGTCATTTCAATTGCAAACTATACATAATTTTTCCAGGCTGATCCATGCGCTAAGCCTCCCCGCCCCCTGAACATCTACTACGCACTCTGTGACAACATGGAGTGGGAGTACAGAACGACGAAGCACATTCGTGACAGAGAGACCGACATCAACGGATACCTCCGACAGAGGCACAAAGAGCTCACGGAACCGATGCTCTACGTCGCACTCTTTGACACGGAAAGAAATGAGGCTGCTAAGAAAGGATGGCGAGAGCAGGTACACAAATAAGTTTTCTGTAGAATTTTTACATTTGGACATAAAATGAGGTGAAGTAATTTCGACAGATCCTGTTTAAAAAAAGTAAATATGCTACTATGATCGCTTCCAGAAGTCGAAACTTCATATTCTCGTTCTCGTTGCATAATAAAGGATTAAAACATAAAAATATACCGTATAACGTAATGACAGATAATTATCTTAATCATCCACCAATACCGATACCCACCCATATACCATTACCCTATTGGGCCTGCTTGATAGATCATGGCCCATTCTCTCTATGCCATCTATAGGGAAGGCCGTCCCTGCAGCAGTGGTGACATGAATAAGCTGAGTATGATGATTTTCTAAATTAGATTATAATTCCTCCGCAGGGCAGAGGATGCGTGCAGCTACGTGAAACTTAAAACAATCGACACTGAACTCGCACAATAAAGTTTAATTGTACCAAAAACTCCTATTTAATAACTGAACCATGTTGAGAAGATGCTATAATAAGCAAATAATGAGTATATTTTTCCTCCTTCTGTTTACAGGAAATCCAAAAGGCCGAGGTGACGGAGCGTGAGAAAGAGGCGGAGATAGATCCGTTGGCTCCGTACTTGGCGCGTTTATTCGGCTCGGGACGCGGCACGGGTGCTCCGCTCACCGTCAAGGAGGCCACACTAGTGCGCGAGCAATGCATCAACGACTTTAAATCCAAGCAGCTGGCCAGGCAGAATTTGGTGCAAGAGAGATTTGATAAGGTAATTTGTGCTGATGCGATGCATTAAATTCTGCTGATCTTAAATAGAGTTGACTAGGAGGTTGCTAGGTGCTCCGCTCACCCTCAAGGAGGCCACGCTGGTACGCCAGCAATGCATCCACAACTCCATAACCAATGACTTCAAATCCAAGCAGATAGCTAAGCAGAATTTGGTGAAGGAGAGATTTGATAAGTTAGTTTGTGGTGATGCTTTTTACTTTTAGAACAGGGACTGGGATTAGTTGTCAATGTAGCTTTCTTGATACGCGTGTCTTCACAAAATTCAGCTGATATTGCATACCTAAGATAGACTTGATTAAGAGGTTGAAATGCACGTTGACATGATGACAGGCCATTTCAAGTGTTGCTTAAACTTCTACGATCGTATGGCAAACGCACTAACCTTTAATTAAATTATATTAAAAACGTTTTTTTTTTCAGCTCAATGCGGAATACAAAGTAAAGAGACTGTGGTATCTGGCAAACCAATTTATTCTTACTCCAGAAAAAGAAAGCGCTTATTTCGCTGCAAGGTATGTTGAAGAGTTAATCGCTATCGCCGGATATTTAATCTTAAGAACTTTTAAACTGGTTTTTTCAATTAGGTATGTACGATGAATCTCTTTTTTTTAGCGCGGAACTATCCTTTAAAGTGCACACTTTAGAGGTAAGACTTACTCGACACAAGGACCTATCTAAACCTAGGTTTAAGGTACTGGAGGACTACTTGGCCAAACATCCACTCCTGAAAGAATACAACCGGGTGAAGAACTACTACAGCAAATACAAATAGGAAAAATATTTTAATTAGGTTACATTCAATTATTTTATTGTATTTACAGGGATTTGTTATTTATTTTACAAAATTACGGATGTTAAATGAATATTTAGTTGAATAAACAGAAATAATTCGTAAACTTTTTTTAAAAATACCTACAACTCCTACAAGTTTACAGACCGACAGTTTGTTGACTGGATACGTTTTCAGAGCTTTTGTTTATCGTTCAGCATACTTGATCAGTGGCAAAACAGAAATCTTCGATTAAGTCAAAATTAAACAGTAGGTAATTTTAATTTAACATACTTCGATTTTTTTGAGAAACAAGAAACCTTGCTGGCTTGTGTAGTGACATTGATTTTTGATTCATCGAAGTCAATCTTGTTCTTCAGGATGTTAAGGAGTCCCGTTTTTTGTTTAGAAAAACTGCGGCCTAGTGAGGTCACATTTATTTTCATTTATTGTCATAACTGAATGATCTGATTCATTAGTAGCAACCGAAAGACTCATTGTTTTACTGGCAGGCCTTTTTTCGAAACACAATAAATGCTGGTCATTAGGTAGTGACAATCATTTTGGATTCATCGAATTTGATTTAAAAGAAAAGGCTTTTTTGTTAAGAAGAACCAATTGAAAAGAAAGTCTAGTTTTTGCTTAGGATTCTTTTTTGAATTAGTGTTTAGGTAGTAGCCAAGAAGGCTGTGGTCTAGTAAGGTCAGCACTCCATTCCCCTGCGCCGCCTAGCAGATGCCCGTGCCCGTCGTGCGTGGCCTGCGCGAGTCTGGATAGTTTATTGTCATAACTGACTAATCTGATTCATTAGTCGCAACCAAAAAACTCATTATAGGCCTTTTTTGGAAACACAATAAAGCTGGCCATTAAGTAGTGACAATCATTTTGGATTCATCGAATTTGATTAAAAAAAAGGCCTTTTTGTTTAAAAGAACCAATTGTAAAAAAGGATTCTTTATTGAATTAGTGTTTAGGTAGTAGCCGAGAAGGCTGTGGTCTAGTAAGGTCAGAACTCCAGTCCCCTGGGCCGCCTAGCAGATGCCCTCGCCCGTCGTGCGTGGCCAGCACGAGTCTGGGCAGTTTATTGTCATAACTCACTGAGCTGATTCATTAGTGGCAATCAAAAGACTCATTGTTTTACTGGCAGGCCTTTTTTCGAAACACAATAAATGCTGGTCATTAGGTAGTGACAATCATTTTGGATACATCGAATTTGATTTAAAAGAAAAAGCCTTTTGTTTGGAAGAACCAATTGAAAAGAAAGTCTAGTTTTTGCTTAGGTTTATTTATTGAATTAATGTTTAGGTAGTAGCCAAGAAGGCTGTGGTCTAGTAAGGTCAGCACTCCAGTCCCCTGCGCCGCCGAGCAGATGCCCGCGCCCGTCGTGAGTGGCGAGAGCGAGTCTGGACAGTTTGTTCGCCAGACGCCGCTGCGGCGAGTCCGGCCGGGAGAGCGGCGGCAGAGATATGCTACCTGAATCTTGAGAAAACAATTATTACTTCGATAAATACAGGAACAGAACACAATTTTGGTAGGAAAGGAGCATACGCCAGGCGATACTTGTCTAACTTACATATGCGCGTGTGGAATACCCTGGTTGTGATATTGGAAAACTAATGTAGGCGATATAGATATGACTGATAGGTACTGGTACTACCACAACTGAATAAGGAAAGATATTTATTTCATACAACAAATTCAGGCGAGAGCCGTGGAAGTCGGTTGTTACTGACCTGACTTGAATCCGGAAGGGGCTCATTTATGAGTATATTCACGGAATATGCAATCATTTTTCACTAGATAGATAGAAAGAGTATGATTGACATAAGGAATATTTTCTAATACTGATCTAATATTATAGGTAGTTCCCAAGGGTTAAGAGCTGACCAAAGCCATTTATGACGCCATCGTTAAAATGCTAAAGGAAGCGATATTTATACTGACATGTGTAAATTTATTTATCTTGGGAACATTTGTTTGTTATGGCCTCGTAAAAGTACCTATACAAAATAATCTAATAAATCTAATAATATAAAAAAGTCTGTTTCAAACTTTAATTTTAACAATTGAACTCTTTGAATTGGTCACATATGCAATTTGAGTGAAAATCATAAAATTCACGAGATAGATAAAAGTAACAGTTGATCAACATTAAAAGATATCTGAACTGAACAAAAGGTTGCTGTTTATGCAAAATCAATCAAAAATTAAAAAACATTTATTCAGTCTAGGCTGTTACAAGCACTTGTGAATGTAAAGAAGCTACGCCATCGGTTTGCAAAACTACGGAGAACTTGTACTGAGAAGAACCGGAAAGAAACTCAGCAAGGGCTGTTTTTTCTCCCTCTATTGTTATATACAGAGTCGTCAAGTTGAAAAATGACTTCAGAGATACTTCTTATCTTTGTGGATATTAGTACTGACCTGAATGGTAGTCGTAGTTGTTGTGTTCGCTGGGTGTTTCTTGTCCTAGTCGCTTGCGGTACTCGCCCGCGAAGTGCTCGATCAGTGTGTCCATCATTATGGCCTGCTTGGAGAATACCTGAAGACGACACAGTGATTGGTGAAACAAATCAATTACTGAAGGAGTTTAGTTGTTCACCAAAGACTTTTGGAACTTTTGGAAAGTAGTTCCTTTCGGAGGATATAGCGAATTAAATGGATGAAAAAATAGGTGAATTTTTTTCCGTCATACGCAATTTTCCTTCATCCGGATTCCCAAATTATAGTTTTAGTCTACCTTGGTTAAAAAATGTAAGGCTATAACCGTTAAAAAGTACTATAAAAAACTTAGACATTCAATATAAGTCTAAAAAATGAAAATGGTATGCAGGACACCTTAACATGGTTTAAAACATTGGTGTCGTTTCAAGCATGTTTCAAGCTTAATAGTGTTTACTCTGAAAAATCTGTAAACTAAATTTTGCGGGCATTCCTTCTTAATATGCCTTAAAATATCTACGCTACGAATGTGATATCCATGTGGGCTGACATAAATAATTAATTCGCCCGAGGACTAGATCTTAGAAGGTCCGAATATACTTTTATATTTGGAGCTTCACAAAATATTCCTTAAAAAACACCACTAAGTAAATGTAGCAAGTCACAATACATCTTGTAATCTCAGTGTTTCATTAGGATATATGCCTATCTTTGAGTTACCTCAGAGACCCTCAGTCCGTTCTCGACGACCCTGAACTGCGGGAAGAGGCAGGGCAAACAAACCTCGCAGTCGTCAGAAGACCAGACAATATCTCATGACAACTCTTCGTAAAGCAACCCCAGAATCACAGACATTTAAAGCCTCCCATTTTAGTTTCCTCACCTGTAATATCTTCGAGACTCTCAGTCCGTTCTCGACAACTATCATCAGCAGGATGAGCCAGAGCAAACAGACCTCGCAGTCGTGACAAGGCCAGCCAATGTCTCATGATAACTCTTCATAAAACAACCCCAGAATCACAGACGTTTTAGGCCTCCGATTTTAGTTTCCTCACCTGTAATATCTTCGATACTCTCAGTCCGTTCTCGACAACCATGAACTGCAGGAAGAGGCAGGGCAAACAGTCTTCATTATCGTCAGAAGGCAAGCCGATATCCCATGACAACTCTTCGTAAAGCAACCCCAGGAGCACAGTCTGAAAGGAGATTTTTTCGAGATATCAGTTGGTTGTTTCTTAGTCTTACGCTTCCTTATTAAATAAATTACAGAAATAAATCTGCGATCGTGGAAGTTAAGCAACTTTGGCATATCATTATATGGGTAACCAAGAATGTATTCTCTCGAACTCCTCCATGCTTCAAAGGCATGTTAAGCCGTTGGTCCCGGCTGCATCTGCAGTCGTTAGCATCCAACAATCCGCACTGGGCCTGCGTGTTAGGTCATGAATCACCCTATTCCATCCATAGGGAAGGCCTTCCCCCCATCAATGGGGACATAGGCTGATGATAATAATAATAAAGATCAACCTAGGCAACTACACTAATATAATCACTTAAGGCTTGCAATGTAAAATTCCAAAATTCCAAAACTAATGACGATAATGATTTCGCTATAGAATAAATAAATCATTTCTTGCCCATGGAACAGTTGGGTAACTGAATAAAACTATGTCTTCTCTAAACCGTTGCGTCATAAGGATAAAACAATATAACACCCGAATAACCCGAAAAACCCGAATAAAAAAAATAACCCGAAAACCAAGTCGCTTAGTTTTAACAGCGACAGTGTCTTCATTTTGTTTAAAAATCAGTTCCTTTCTTTTTAGCTTCTTGGATAAATTAACTACTTGGGAATCTTTAAATATCCCAATTCCTAACATTTGCTACCATGTCAACATAAATATTTTCCTTAGTAAGATGTGTTGACAGGAAAAAAATTAATATATTCTGTTATAATATTAAAATACTCACGCTCTCAGTATCGTCGATGACATAAACGCCATTAGCATTAACTGCCACCAGCACCGGTATGTCCTCGTGGGTCAGCAGACTGGTGAGACTGCGCACCGGCTGCTCTATCTGACCCTGGAAGAATGCTGCCCTGGAAACGTTGATCAATGATCTTGGTACGAATATAAAATAATAAGGGCTTTATGAACGCTGCCCTGCAAACGTTTATTCATTTATTGATCTTGTTAATTCTCCCACCATACCTTAGCCCTCTATGGAGGGCTGAACACCTAGAGTAGCAAAAATAATTCAATTAACGGCCACGACTTTTGTTCGCGTCCAAATCATCAGTCTTTTGAATAAATTCAACTGGAGGGACAACACAAAAAAAAAACACAAATCTACGAAACACTAGATAAATGACTTTAATCTTCCGAAAAGATGGAGGAATTCATATGTACCTCAAGCATGGACTTTGACTGATCTCTCTCTGTAATCGTATCGCCATCGTCATCGCCAAATTTTCTAAGGAAGGATCCTGTTTAGTATTAATTTATTCCTATTTTCTAAGGAAGGAGTTTTGTTTTTTCCGGTAGGGTTTGTGCGTATTTTCTATTGAAACTTTGATAACGGATCTGTCAAAGTTCGTGCTTGGGGTACTGAGCTCTCTCAATACTCACCCGTACGTGGCATGTGTCCTGATATGCGCGAGGTATTTGTGCCTCAGTTTCCTTGGTGGGGCAGCGGGAGGTCGCTGTGCTTGTTCCAGAAGCTTTGCTTCGGGACTCCCTTTCCTCCCGGCGGGAAGCAGTTGGGCCCAACGCCCGGAACGAGCGTGCTGAGGTAGGTATTTGTCTTGGTGCTCTCTACAAATTACGTGAGAGCTTTGGAGATTTTGATGAGAATAGGGGATGATGACAAACTTTTTTTCTTCGTCTTTCAAGTAGATTATCAAATTAGACACGTATTTTTTTTCTTTATTTACATAATCAAAACGTTACAGAGATATATATGTTGCGCTGTCATTTGAAATGTCGCATGACGTCACACCTCCAGTAAAAGTAAGAATAATCTGGCTCTGTTTGTTATCACCGGTTGTTATTATAGTGTTAATAATAAAAATATCCCAGCAACAAAGCTCGAGTAGGCCTACCTTTTACTGGAGTTTGATAGTATTTTCTAATAATGAGTATTGAGAAAATAATACTATAGTCTGTTATTCTACGTAACGATCACTTCTTTTATTTAAATGCCTTTGCAGTATCTTGATATACTTAACGCTTATCACCAGATCACTGAAGATGCTCCTAGGGGTCTATGGCCAAGGAGACTACTGTTCTGATAGATAGTAGAGTATTTTTTTTCTATAATTATGATGAAGATCAAATGACACCGTAACAATATATTTTTTTGTAAATATTGTTACATAATTATTTAACGCTGTGAAATTTTATTTGCCAGTTTTTCTCCATAGCTAAAAATAATGTCCTTAACTGGTGGTAAGGAAAAAAATATGGACGATTCAAAAAAGTTGTATTTTGTATCCAATTTGAATAAAGATATTTTGACTTTTCATAGACTGGGGCTGACTGTGCTACCTCAACAACCTGCACTCACAATGGACAAACTACATATCATTAATAAAACAGTGGATATTTTGATGTTATGGGGCTTAAAATATAAGATAACACATCACAATCACTGCTCACCTAAAGAACTTTGCGGTGTGCCTGTGTGGATCGTACGGACCCAGCTGTATCCTGGCTTGCAGGCCACCCAGCATCACCGCTTGCGCACTCTCCAACGGATACCGACCTGTCACAACGTTGTGACGAGCTTCTTCGTACAATAGCTCTTGTATACGAGAATCTCTGGAAGACGATCGGTATGATGGGTAAACTTCGGTACCAAGACCTTAGAAAATTAGGGGGTATATATAGTACGTTACAGGTTAAGAGGGGTGGGGACATTTTGTGACAATTCAAAATTTTTAAACTACTTGTACCAAAAATCTTCAAAATTGTAGAGCTCCATCTGTATGGATTTTCATTTGTTTTGTTGGCTAATTTTCAGGACTAATTTCGGAACAGCTGTTTTATTTTAATAAATTCTACGTGTAAAATGGCAAAAAATGTGACGTCACACTAGTAAGGGACTCACAACTGTAACAAGGACGGGGGAGGGGCAACAAAATCACAAAATTAGTGTGACGTACTTTATGAATGACCCCTAGGCAGTATGTACAGGAATTTGTTGTAGACAGTTGAGAGATCGTTAATCTGTACAGTTATATATAAAAATCAGGCATTCCTGACTGATTGATCTATTAACATACAGGTCAAACCACTAAAAGAATTGCGCTGAAATCTGACACGCTTAAAGCTATTATGAAGTAGATATGCGCTTAGAAAGTATTTTCCAAAACTTATCCCCCCCCCCCTAAAGGAGTAAAACGGAGGTTCAAAGTTTGTATGCATTAAATCTAACGCGAGCGGAGTCGCGGGCAACAGCTAGTGGTTCGTGATATTGGTAACACCCGATATCTATTCCGAAATGCAGTTCTACCTGTCATTTATCTCCAAAGAAGTCAGAGAGCACATTTTTACGGAGATCGAGACTACAATAAGAACATATAAGCATCCTATGCGTGATGATCATTTAAGGATAGCTAAGAATACATTTTGAAATAGGTACTAAGTACAATGGAGCTCGACGGCGGAAGTAGTTAGCGCGTTCGGCTGCGATTGTTCAAGTTAAGCAACTTATGCAGTGGTCGGTCATTGGATACCCATCCAAAAATTTACTATCTCGAGCTCCTCCGTGCTTTAGAAGGTACGTTAAGCCATTGGTCCCGGCTGCATCTGCAGTCATTAGCACCCACCGCACTGGGCCCACGTGGTGTGTCATGGCCCAATCTCCCTATTCCCTCCATAGGGAAGGCTTGTGCCCCAGCAGTGAAGACATTAATTATGATGATGATAACGACAAAGTTACAAATTAAAATATTATACAGCACAAATAGGTTCAACTCACTTGATGCCCTCCTCCAAGTGTTTAGGGAAAAACACGTTTCTCTGTAGCCTGAGAATTGGCTGATCGCGCGCTTTCCTAGTCTCCGAGCCGTGGCCGTATCGCTGAAGTAATTTCTGCCAACTGGCCCAAATCTTCCAGGGGCAGTGGTGTGGTTTTAGCTGGATCTCTGCAGTCAGACTATCTACATTTTACATTTATCCTAAGCTGTGCGCCGCGGTGTTAGCCGCGATTTATTAGGGATATTTCCCGCAGTAAATATGTGTTAATCCAGGGTGTCAGCTAACTCCATACCAAATTTTATTAAAATCGCTCCAACCGTTTAGATGTGAAGAAGTAACAAACATACACACTCACATACAACTTTCGCCTTTATAATATTAGTGTGATTAGTGTGACTAGCTACCCTAGGTGCATGACACTGAAGACCGAGCTCGAACCTTGACAGCTCCGTAATCGTATCGTCATCGTCAAATTTTGTATGGAAGGAGCCAGGTTGTCCTTACGTCCGGTAGGGGCGTTGCTTAGTTTTCATGGACACTTTGACGATGCGATACGATAACGAAACTGTCAAAATTCGTGCTTGGGCCTCTGATGATAAGATTGGGAAGTGTGGAGATTTCAATAAAAATATATCAACAAAATATTTTTCTAGAAGATTCAGTAGAAATCAACAGAAAATCAGGAAAGTGTTTTTTGCATTTAAACCTAAACACAGCACAGATTCTCATTAGTATACTGCTCCGTCGCTAGTGTCCCAATAAAATTCTACCGACTATACCACGGCGAGTGTTCTTAGGATTTATTCTCCCTTATCCCTCCATCACCTTTTCTTCAGAGGACCACGTGCGCTAGCCTACGTTGCCACCGACTTATTGTGGCCACTATTCCTACACGAACAAATAAATTTGGTGACATATTTCTTTGTCGTACTATTCGTAAGTGGAATTGTTTGCCTGCGCACGTGGGAACACGTGTTACTTCCTTCCTACAATCTGGGGTCCTATAAGAGAAACGTGAAGAAGCATTTTTGCAGGCCAGCAAGGTGAGGATGGTTGGTGTGGCAGTTTATAACTGGTGTACCAGATATCTTCGCGTTTGGACTTTATCACCACTTAACATCAGGTGGGGTAGAGTCATTTGCCTACCTGACAACATAAAAAAACCACACAAATGCGAATCGGACTCGTACACCGTGGGTTTCGTGCAATAGGTACTGTTATAGATAGTATATGTATCCCCTTTAGCACACCATGCACCCTTGCCTTGCACAGACTGCAAGCTCATCATTATGTACTCATAGCCGCCAGTCCCATCCATACGATCCGCAGTCTCGATCCAACTTCCTAACCAGACGGCTGTCCTACTAAATAAATAAAATTGTTTTTTTTAAAAAGCCATTCTTCCCGAGGCTCATAACATTAAATGGTGGCAGCGTAAAGGGATTCAAAAAGAGTCCCCGGTACGTCTCCGAAACCCAAAATCAACGCGTGTGTTTGTGCGTGTGAGTGTAAGCGCCAGCTCCATTGTGTGGAACGGTTACGTTATTGCACCGAGTTCCGGCCCGGCCCTCTTGGTCGCCTAATTGTTCGTGAAAAGTTCGTGAAAGGCCCATTGCTGCGTGCCGTTTGTACTGCAGCCGGCCTTTACCCAGAACCAGCGAGACTATACCCGCTGTCGCGCACAATTCAGTGCTGCGACCGGTATAATTCTACGACGCGACGACCCGAGGCTTATCATCACGCAGACTTCCCACGCACGGCGAGTTAAGCTCCAAGAAATGATTAATACCTTTATCGTGCTATCTGCATTCTAGTAAGTGACTTTATAAGTTTGGTCATTGCTATTATCATATATTAAATAAGTGTTCTGATTAATTAATCATACCAGCGTTTTTCACGGATTTTACTCCAATATTTTATATAGGTTTCTTATTATTATTTTTGTTATTATTCTACAATGGCAATGGATAGACCTAGGAGTCCTAAATTCGATAACCCCGATATTGCTATTACCGACACGGAGGACGATAGCCAAAACCAATGTCCACCTCCTCTAGGACCTTCCACTAGGTCAGGTGCTCGACGAAAAATCACACCAAGATTGGAAATTGAATTATCCACCTTATTAAAGTTCATAAAACCGTACGACGGTTCCAGAGAAAAATTAAATTCTTTTCTCGTAAATTGCAATAATGCTTACGAGCTTGCCGCAGATTCCCAAAAGGATTTATTATTTAAATACATTCTTTGCCAATTAGAAGGTAAGGCAGAGACCGCTTGTTCCATAAAGGAATTCGCCACTTGGCAACAGTTAAAAGATTTCTTGAAAACACAGTTTAGTGAGCGAAAGCACTATGCTCACCTGCTCACAGATTTGCAAGAGTGCAAACAACAGCCTAACGAACCAGCTAGTCAGTATGCTCTAAGGATTGAGACATGTCTCTCCGATTTATTAACGGAAATATCAATTTCTCACGGTCACAAAAGTAGGGAAATGATAGGACGGTCGGCCGCCATGGAGGAACTAGCCCTCCATCACTTCCAAATGGGGTTGCATCCCCGAATTTCTAACATTGTTAGGTGTAAATCGGCTAAATCATTAAACGACGCTATTAATCTAGCAATTTCTGAGGAGAGAATCCAACAAACACTTTCTAGGCAGGGCCCGAGCCAATCCAGCAACCAATATGCACGTCAGGACAGACATAATTTACCAAGGCCTAATGCACAATTTGTCCGCCGTAGCCAAGGACAACCAACTTCTAACCAATACTACCAAAGACCGAGCTCTAATACTAATCGCTCTTATAGTGGCAATGCTTCGGCCACCCCATTTTGCCGATATTGCAAAACACCAGGTCACACCCTGGAACAATGTAGAAAAAGGGAATATAACAATAACCGGTTTAAAAACCTTGACCAAATTCAAACAAGAGCTCCCCAACGTATAAATTACGTTGAAGACGGTGCACAAGAACCTAACGACGATGAATACCCAACTAATCCTGACGACGGCTATGATACCGTCGATTCCAATCCAAAAAACTAAAGACTGTCTCGTCCCTGTGTCGTACGGGACCTCGTGCACCAAAAATCGACACAGCTGATTCAAACAAAAAATACAAAGTATATAGATGTCGCTACAAACCAGATCCACCGCAAGTATCGCTACATGATGACTTGCCGAAATCCACTGTTTCCGTGCAGCAACTCAAGAAAGTTGATCTGCCAAAATCCACTGTATCCGTGCAGCAACTCAAGAAGGTTGACCTGCCAAAATCCACTGTATCCGTGCAGCAACTCAAGAAAATTGATCTGCCAATATCCACTGTATCCGTGCAGCAACTCGAGAAGGTTGATCTGCCAAAATCCACTGTATCCGTGCAGCAACTCAAGAAAGTTGATCTGCCAAAATCCACTGTATCCGTGCAGCAACTCAAGAAAGTTGATCTGCCAATATCCACTGTATCCGTGCAGCAACTCGAGAAGGTTGATCTGCCAAAATCCACTGTATCCGTGCAGCAACTGAACAAAGTTGATCTGTCAAAATCCACTATACCCCAACGACTATACAACAAATCTAACCCGTCAAATATACTTAAATCCAAGATTTATGAAATAACTAATAATCCTGCCAAGACCCTATTACCTCATGTCCTCGTGAGTTCTTCTGTTTCAGACATTCCGCTATCTTTGTTAGTCGACTCTGGATCATCTGTAAGTCTTTTAAAACAGTCATGTATAGAAAAGTATCCAAAACTAAGTAATGAAACCATCCAATTAAAAGGCATTGATCCAGCAGAGGAAACGATCCGTACAAAAGGTCACTTCCAATTGAAATTACATACTTCTAAATCTAAATTATCTCATTTATTCCATGTTATCGGCGCCATTCATTTACCATATGATGGGATAATCGGCTCCGATATGCTCAATGCCCTCAACTGTACGATAGACTATAATAATAACCTACTCCACATAAAAGATGCAACGTTGAAGCTATACTTCCACGAACCTGCTTACATAATTCCCGCTCGAACTGAGACCATCATTGAATGCTCAGTTTCAAACCCTGAAATCAAAGAAGGACTAGTCCTGGACCAAAAAGTTTCCGATAATTTACTTATAGCAAATTGCCTAGTCCACGTCAAGAAAAACAATAGAATTAACGTATCCGTCATTAATACCTCCGAGGAACCACTTACCTTAAAATCAAACCTCAATCTTAAGCTTGTTCCCTTTAATCCGTCTGAATTCATGGAAGAATATCCGTATCATAGACCCGTTAATCATACCAGTGTTTTGAGTAATAATTTTGAACGCACAGAAGAAGTCATAAAACAGTTGCGTACTTCCCATCTCAACAGCGAAGAAAAAGCTGCTCTCTTACAACTGTGTTCTGATTTTTCCGACATCTTCCATCTTCAAGGAGAAAACCTTACTCATACTAATGCTCTTAAGCATGAAATCAAAACAACTACGGATATTCCAATTTACACTAAGTCCTATAGATTCCCAGAGATCCACAAAGTCGAAGTCAGAAAACAAATAGACAAAATGTTAGAACAAAACATTATAGAAGCCTCTGACTCTCCTTGGTCATCTCCCATTTGGGTCGTTCCAAAAAAACTCGATGCTTCCAATGTCCAAAAATGGCGTGTAGTAATAGACTACCGCAAACTCAACGATATCACAATCGGTGACACATACCCCATTCCACAAATCACCGAAATATTAGATCAACTCGGTAATAGTAAGTACTTCTCCACCTTAGATCTGGCATCTGGATTTCATCAAATTGAGCTTAACGAAGCTGATAAAGCTAAAACAGCCTTCACTGTCCCCGAGGGACACTTCCAATTCACTAGGATGCCATTTGGGCTCAAGAACGCCCCGTCTACCTTTCAACGACTTATGAATTCTGCACTATCTGGCCTTCAGGGTATACGATGCTTTGTATACCTCGACGATGTGGTCTCGTACGGGTATGATCTAAAATCTAGCATCAGCAATTTGACAGCCATCTTCCAAAGAATCCGTCAGTTCAATCTGAAACTGCAGCCCGACAAATGCGAATTTCTAAGACGCGAAGTCTGTTATCTAGGGCATATAATCACCGAACAAGGCGTAAAGCCAAATCCAGAGAAGGTCAAGGCCGTAACCGCAT